GCGGAACTTATTATATTTTTTAAAGTTTTGGGGGTTTTTTTTTTTTTTTTTTTTTTTTTTTTTTTTTTTTTTGAAAACCACTGACTCAAGTCTATTTCTTCTCTCTTTGGGGCAGGCGATAAAGCAAGTTGCATAAGTTAAGAAAAAAACATGGAAGTGTTTTCTTAATTATGAAGCTGCTTTCATATGGAGAAGTAAATAAGGGGCTTAAATCATCAAGTTACAAGCTCCTAAAGGAGTGGAAAAAATTACTCCTTGGAGTATGGCCACACCCTGGAAAGCATAGATTTTTGTTTAAGCAGGGTAATCCTTTTTGCATTTTCTACTTGACGGTACATTATCAGGAAGCATATTGTATCGCTTAATCTTGAAAAAGAAAGAAAGAAAGAAAGAAAGAAAGAATTATGCAGCATTTTCACTTCTAATGCACCACAAAAGAAAAGGTCATATTCCATGTGGGTTCCGAGGAGAGATTCTTTTTTATGGATGACAAGACAATTTAAGTGCAACTCAATGCAGTTGAATCATTCGGTAAGCACATCACAAACAAACTCTCAAGTGGTTTGGTAGTTAAAGACATCTCATGCTCTCAAGTTCTGTAGGAAGCATTTGAACTATCGTTAGGCTAACGGCTCAATATTCATTGTCCACGAATATTTTTCATGTGACTTGTTTCTTTGACAATTCCTATAAAAGAAATAACTACGACTGGTCGCTCCCCTCTCTTTTTTTTTTTTTCCCCTATTGGAAACTATCACAAACGTGAACACAACAAAATAAAACCAAAAGAATGGTTAAAAAAATTACAAATCCGTCATTATTATATATGTCCATGATGAACCATGATATGTAATTGGATTGGAATAAGGGCCCATGTAACGTTTTTCAAATACATCTTTCTCCCTCCATTTCTCCACAAGTCCTCCTAGCTTCTAGAGCCTCAGAGATGGGGACTATCTTGGCACCACCGACTTGTTTCCACACAAGAGTAACAATCCGCAGCGCCAAAAGCAAGAAACAGAAACAGAAACAGAAACAGAAAAATTCTCAACAGAAACAAAAACAAAAACAAAAACTTCACCAGAACAGAAACAAAACCACGTCCTTATCTTTCCCAAAATCGTATCCCACTCCACTCCTCATTGCCCAAAAATCCTTCTCCCAAACCAAGCTCGAAGCCCTTGAAACCGTCGTCAAAGACATCGAACTATCCGTCGAAAAAGGCGTCGAAATTGAGATTGAAATCTTTGCTTCCCTTTTGGAAACATGCTACCAGTTGCAGTCTCTCCACCACGGCATTCGCATTCACCGCCTTATCCCCGCCGGCCTTCTGCGAAGAAACATCGGCCTCTCGTCCAAGTTACTTCGTTTGTACGCTTCCTCTGGGCGCGTCGAGGATGCCCACGACATGTTCGATCAAATGTCTAAGAGGGACAAGTTTGCATTTGCGTGGAATTCGCTCATCTCCGGCTATGCTGAATTGGGTCAGTATGAGGATGCACTGGCTTTGTACTTCCAAATGGAGGAGGAGGGTGTTGAGCCTGATAGGTTCACTTTCCCCCGGGTGTTGAAGGCTTGTGGAGGCATTGGTTCGATTCTTATCGGGATGGCAGTTCATCGACATGTAGTGCGTTCGGGTTTTTGGGACGATGGCTTTGTGCTCAATGCTTTGGTAGACATGTATGCTAAGTGTGGTGACATTGTGAAGGCTCGTAGGGTTTTTGATAAGATTAGTATCCGGGACTTGATCTCTTGGAATTCAATGCTGACGGGCTACATCCGTCACGGGCTTTTGATTGAGGCTTTGGATATCTTTCGTGGAATGATCCGAGAAGGGCATCAGCCGGATTCGGTTGCTGTATCCTCCATTCTCAGCAGGATGACATCATTGAAGCTCGGAGTTCAAATCCATGCATGGGCCATTCGGCGAGGGATCGAGTGGAACTTGTCCATTGCTAATGCCTTGATTGTTCTATACTCCAACCGCAGAGAGTTGGATCGAGCATGTTGGTTGTTCGATCAAATGCCTGAAAGAGACGTCGTGTCGTGGGTCCTTATCTTTCCCAAAATCGTATCCCACTCCACTCCTCATTGCCCAAAAATCCTTCTCCCAAACCAAGCTCGAAGCCCTTGAAACCGTCGTCAAAGACATCGAACTATCCGTCGAAAAAGGCGTCGAAATTGAGATTGAAATCTTTGCTTCCCTTTTGGAAACATGCTACCAGCTGCAGTCTCTCCACCACGGCATTCGCATTCACCGCCTTATCCCCGCCGGCCTTCTGCGAAGAAACATTGGCCTCTCGTCCAAGTTACTTCGTTTGTACGCTTCCTCTGGGCGCGTCGAGGATGCCCACGACATGTTCGATCAAATGTCTAAGAGGGACAAGTTTGCATTTGCGTGGAATTCGCTCATCTCCGGCTATGCTGAATTGGGTCAGTATGAGGATGCACTGGCTTTGTACTTCCAAATGGAGGAGGAGGGTGTTGAGCCTGATAGGTTCACTTTCCCCCGGGTGTTGAAGGCTTGTGGAGGCATTGGTTCGATTCTTATCGGGATGGCAGTTCATCGACATGTAGTGCGTTCGGGTTTTTGGGACGATGGCTTTGTGCTCAATGCTTTGGTAGACATGTATGCTAAGTGTGGTGACATTGTGAAGGCTCGTAGGGTTTTTGATAAGATTAGTATCCGGGACTTGATCTCTTGGAATTCAATGCTGACGGGCTACATCCGTCACGGGCTTTTGATTGAGGCTTTGGATATCTTTCGTGGAATGATCCGAGAAGGGCATCAGCCGGATTCGGTTGCTGTATCCTCCATTCTCAGCAGGATGACATCATTGAAGCTCGGAGTTCAAATCCATGCATGGGCCACTCGGCGAGGGATCGAGTGGAACTTGTCCATTGCTAATGCCTTGATTGTTCTATACTCGAACCGCGGAGAGTTGGATCGAGCATGTTGGTTGTTCGATCAAATGCCTGAAAGAGACGTTGTGTCGTGGAATTCCATCATTTCCGCTTATTCTAAGGACCCAAAAGCGATAGTTTATTTTGAGGAAATGGAGAAAACTGCTAGTGCTTTTCTGGACAGTATTACTTTCGTGTCGTTACTATCTACTTGTGCCCATTTGGGCTTGGTGAATGTTGGGGAGAAATTGTTTTCTGTTATGAGAGACAAGTATGGAATAAGACCAATCATGGAACATTATGGTTGTATTGTGAATCTTTATGGTAGGGCAGGACTTATCAAAGAGGCTTATGGCGTGATTGCGGAGGGAATGGAGTTTGAAGCTGGTCCAACTGTGTGGGGGGCTTTACTATATGCTTGTTACATTCACAACAATGTAGAGATAGGAAAGGTTGCTGCCGAGCGACTTTTCGAGTTGGAACCCGACAATGAACATAATTTCGAGCTTTTGATGAAGATTTATGGCAACGCAAATAGATCGGAGGACGTGGAGAGGGTGAGGATTATGATGGTTGAAAGAGGATTGGACTCGTAGACTTGTATGTATGTACAACTAAGGTTTAGTGTCAAAAAATTTATCCTTTTTTCTCCGCTTATCACATGTAAAGTCCAACACAGAGAAAATGAAAATGTTCTTACTGATTAAGCAAAGCTCCTCAATTTAATTGTGAATATTGATCCAATTACCTTATGCAAATATGCTTGTCGCTTTCACTATATGTCCCCAGACCATGTTCAACCATGGAAAAATTTAAACAAAGGAAGGTGGATGAAATATTAAGAAGTTGCTACTGCTGCTGTTACTGTTTTTCTCAACCAAAAAAAAAAAAAAAAAAAAAAAAAAAAG